AGGCTATTCAAATATACAGATGCTTAATATTTTTGGAGATGGCAGAACAAATCATTTTTAATTTCAAGTTTTTAAGCTTTGAGACTTCATGACAATAAACACTGTGAGCTCTGATTCCAGGCAGCTCTCATGCTTATAAACTTCAGTGCTGATATTGAAAGTTTACTCCTGTCATATTAAAAGCACAGTTCTGTGCATGTAATCATTTTCACCTGCAGTGATAAAATTGTTATATAAGTGATGAATTATAATATTCACATCCAGTTATGGCTTGGGTTGTGTAGAGGGAGCTCTGGTTGTCATCTCCTCTGATCAATGAGAGTCAGACGTGTTGAAGAACCTGAACATTTAAACTGGGTCTTTCTGTCTCCACATATCAGATCTGATTGCTGTGCCACCAAGGAGCCCTTTCCAGATGGATTTATTTACATGAGCTTTTGCAGCACTAAACTCCTTTTGAAAATTCATTTGGCCAAAAAGATTTTTATGAGTAGCTTGTCTCAGACGGGAGCTGTAAATGTATCCTGTAGAAATAATAGTCACAGAAAGGATGAGAGGTTCTGTGGAGATAAGGCTGAAGACAAACTTCCAGTAAATCACAAAACAAACAACTGTTGATTTATGCTGTACAGAATAATAATTTAAAGGTGTTTTGTTACCTGAGTAAGGTATCTGTACTTCATTTCAAGATTTCTTGGACTAGTGGCTTATATTGAACAGTATTTTTACAGGAAAGAGGATGAGATTTTAATTTTATCACTGGTGAAATAAAACTCTAGTTCAATTTTGCATTTCTGCTCAGTGGCTGTTTTTGATATGAGCTCTATGTATGGGCAGTTGCCCAGGGCAGCATTAGAAAGAACAAAAAAATATTTATCTGTCAGCGGTGCCCTGAACAAGTTTCCCTTGATTGCTGGTGAAGAGTGGGGTATATATTATTGTTTGAATTTTAATTAGTTGGAGGGCGACAGAAGGAAGGAAGGATTTGCCCAGGATGCCATTCCTGCAAGATCCACCACTGATACATTTGCAACAAGTTACATTTCTTCTGGCCTGTGGATTTCTAGAAAACATCCTCCATTTCTGTTTGGGTTACATTAGAAGAAAACTGATGTACCATATCTCACTATTCATAACACAATAGAAAGAATCAAAGTCTCTGATTCTGAAGAAACTCATTTAATTTTCCACACACCACTGACACTTAAAATGTCTAGATGAGAATATTTTTTAATTCATATTTTCAGTCAAAATTCTTAAAGAGTGACTTTACAAGTATTGAACTTAATTACAAAAGAGACTTAAGATGGCAACATTGAAAATGTGTCACACATTTAAATGTTAAAATAATAGAATCAAAGCATCAGGAGCATCTTAAAAATGAATATTACATTTCAAGAATCTGGTAGACAGTAAACAGTACATGTAAAACACGGCTCTTTGCTAAAACAAAGCTAAAGAAGCATATCTGATATTTGGAATCCATGTTAGTTCAAAGACTTGCAATAACATCTTATAAAAATATGAGATTATAAAAAACAAAAGCTTTTATTTCATACAGTAGATTGAACCATCACATCATTCAGTCTGCAAAGCTGCTTCGGTTGCTGCAGGATTATTTCCCTGTCAGAGGAGAGATAATTTCAGTGAGATATTTCTCCACATTAAAATTAATTAAAGCCTCAGACATGAACATGTTCAAAGAATAAAATCATATTTTTAATTCTATTTCAGTTGTTTACTTTAAACATTCGGTTCAGGAACACAAAGAATTTGAAGCTATTAAAACATGAACTGCTTTGATTAATCTAAAAACAAATATTGGATCAAAAAGCATGATGATGAAACTCTGTGACTTTACGTTAAATTATTAATCTGTACCTCCATCTAGCGGCTGTTAAATGGCACTGCAACAGATTTACTGCTTCAGAGCTCTCACTGCATGTTACTCAAATACTCAGCTGTTTTATCATTTCAGATTTTTAAGCTTTGAATATTCAGGACAATAATAAACACTATGAGCTCTGATAACGGGCGGCTCTCATGCTTATGAACTTCAATGCTTTTATGCAGAGTCGTCCAACATCAACAAATATTAAAGTGAAATGATACTTTGGCAAATTTTAATTGGCATTGATTTTCATTCTCAATTCTGAAAGTCACTTTACAAATATGTAACTTAATCACAAAAGAGACTGAAAATGTGCCACACATTTAAATGTTCATATTTAATAACATCAATTGATCAATAGCATCTCAAATATGAATATGATATGTTTTTGCTACATTTAACAATGAACAATGCATGCAAAAAAAAAAATAAATAAAAAAACTGGATTCCATTTTAGTTCACAGATTTACAACAGAATCAAATAGCTTTTATCTCATGCAGGAGAATCATTCAGCACTGCTGCTTCTGTTGCTGCAGGATTATTTTCCTGTCAATGGAGAAATTATTTAGTGAGATATTTATCAACATTAAAAATGAGTTAAAGTCTTCTAAAGACTTGAACATGTCAAAGATATTATATTTTTAACTATCTCAGTCATTTACTTTAAACCTTCTGTTATAAAGCATATCAGAAAAACAAAGATTGATACAATCTGGAGATATTAAAAGATTAATCGTTTTGATTAATCTAAAAATAAACATTGAATTAAAAAAAGCATAAAGATTAATGAAGAATCAATCAAATTGGAAACTTTTGTTAGTGTGTTATGTCTACATTTATTATGTAGATGTTAAATTATAATTACCTTGGTCAACATTAGCATTTTCAGAATCTTCTGCTGGCTGAGGAATCCTCTCTGCTGAATCTGTCAGATGAATAAATTGGGAATCAAACAAATAGAGAATCTTAATATTGAGAAACGATCTTAAAGTTTTCTTATATTCCATATGTTGGAGTAATTGTGAATTATTTAAGTTATTTGAATATTTAACATGTTTGGATTTATCTTCATTTGAAATATTTCTCTATTTTCCATCATCAGTCTCTTTAAATCACTCAGATGTTGAATCTCTTTCTGCTATAAAACTTTTACTTTACCGTTTCCAGAAGTTTGGCTGAGTTGGATTGTCTCATCAGGGGAAGAGTCACCTAAAGACAATAAAACAAGGTTAAAGTTCAAATGACTGGAAATAGATCAAATAAGTAAATCATGTTCACACAAAGTAAATGTTCTCATGGTTTGTTTTTAGTTGTGTTTCAGTAGTTTGGTATGTTTCCTGATAAAATGTTCATAATTGTTTCCAGTATGAATTGTATTAATTTCATAAAAATGTTATAACTGTATTTTTATGTTACACTGTTGAAGAGTGGGTTTTTGTCAGAATATTTCTTTCTACGATAATGTAGAAATGTTATTCTCTCTGTGTTTAGTTGTTTTGTTTCTGAAAATGATTAATCAGAAAATTGAGTAAATATAAATCCCAGTTATTCATAAAAATGTTTAATTTGAGACGAACCAGGAAGCAGAGAGCTGAAAACAGAACCGTCATTCTGGGTCGCTCCAGGATCTGGATTGATGCTCTCTGGTTGATTCAGTCTAAGAATAAAAGACTTAGATGTTTTATTAAAAGTATATATATATTTTTATTTATGTTCAAAGAGAGAACAGATGGTTTTTACTGACCCGCTGCTGCTTAAATCTGCACAGAAAAAGAAAAAAAAAAAAAAAATCATATTTTCAGTCCATCTTAAAAACATCACAATAAACTTGAAACATTTGAACAAATGAAGTATTTAACTAATTATAATTCAGTATAGTCAGAAAAATGTCTCACCTTTGGACCGTCTGCAGCGCCACAACAAGATCAGGAGAATAAAGAGAATAATGAGAACGATTCCAACAACTGGTCCAACGATCAAGATGGCAGGAAATAAAGAGTTGAAAGGACTGGATACAGTTACTGGAAATAAGAAATATTAAAATGAATAAATCCTATTTAACTCCTGGTTTCATGACATCATCCTCCGTTTCGTCCAAATCTGATCTTAACATCATCAGCGATCACTTTGTTCCTCTCTAACAACTAAATGGTCTTACTGACTAAAATGCATAAATTATTTTAATTCTCCTCACCTCTCACTTACAATAGAGATTATGGAAACAACATGTTTTTTATTCATATTTTCTCATTTGTCTAATGTTGTGAATATCCAGACCTGCTGATCACAGAACATAATGTTTATTTCATAATAACCTGATATTTCCTTTATGTCCAGGTAGTTTTATGTGTTTCTCTAAGGATCACTGTACTGTAAAAATCGATCTGTGTAATTTCTCCACCTGATCACTGCTTGCTTGTAAATATTCTCTGACAAAAAGAGGTTATAATTAAGGTGGAGCTTCTCCATCAACTATATCAACTAAGAGAGACTCTGGTCAAATGTTGTGTGAAATGCATTTAAATGCGTATTAATCACATGACAAAAAGTCAAAGTGGCAAAAAATGAAGATAATTTCTTCATTTCTAGTACAAATACAAGTTTTTTGTTACTTAAAGCGGCATCATTGCAGTGATAACGAAACTTAATAAAAACAAATATCCATCCATTGTTTACAGCTGCTTGTTCTTGCTGGTTTTTATCTCCAGCAGTTTCTGGTCAAAGGCAGGTCACCAGTCCATCACAGGATAAACTACCATGCACACATTCATATGTCAGGAAAATTTTAGACACACCAATAACAGCCATGAGGAGTGAACGAACACACACACATGTTCCAGGAGAGCAAACCAACTCTATGCAGAAAGACCACAGGTCAGGATTCGTCTCCAGCACTTTCTTTCTACACTTTCTTTCTTTCTACAAGGCTACCATCTGCTACTAATGAGAAATAAAACAATACAATTTAACAGTGTCATTTGTTGCTTCAAATTAGATTTTGTTTCCCCGTCTGTTACATGGAGAATCTGTTTACTTTCAGAGTTAAAATGCTTTATATAGTAAGTACGAGACATAGACAAATTAGAAAACATGAAATCCTAAATGAAATAAAGCTGTGAAGAAAAACATCCAAAACAAACAAGAGGAATTTGAACAACTTTACCGCCAAATGTCACAAAATATAAATAAGGATGAGACACTCATCTTAAATCCATTTACAGATGGATTTAATTTTCAGACATGATGAATTAAAACTACATGGTATCCTGCTGTAGTTAGCTTTGTTCTGCTGTTTTTCTTTCTTTTTTTTTTAAATCACAAACTGCACCTTCATCGCTGGTTTCAGTGTAGAAAACTGGATCTCCTCTTCCTCCTCTGCAGCTGTAAACACCTTCATCTGAGACGATGAAGACTCCATCTGGATCATTGGTTCTGATGAACTGATCTGTATGAGACTCTGTCTCCCGTCTTAACAAATCAAACTTCCAGCCATCAGATCCACTAACAGAGCAGGTCAGTGTTACACTGCCCCCTGCTGGTATGATTGTATCACTTGCTGTCAGTTTGGTTGCAGGTTTATTTGCTGCTGATTGAGACAAAGAGAAAAAGAACAAAATCACCAGAATTTAACTTGTTTCAACATAATTCAGCTTGGTTCATTTATATAGCTTCACTTAATAAAAAAAATATCGTCACATTCCACTTCATAAGACAAACAGGTCTTATATGGTTTCCTTTAACATTTACAAAATATACATTTTCTGCTATTGACTCATTTATTCTGTCAAATGTTTTTAACCAGCAGCATCTGTGCTTGTTATGGATTCATATATTTATTAAAATTTAACATTAAAATAATCTTTTCTCATAAACATGCAGATTATTCACATTAGAACATCGACTGTTCATCAATATATAACTAATAAAACCCAGAAATCATAATAATCTGACTGTGATTGAATCAAATCATGTTGTATCAAATCCCAGTCAGAGCTGAGCTGAACCAAACTACTGAACCAGAACATCTTCTAATGTTCTGCTGCAGTCAGGAGAACTGGGCTGGAAATCAGCTCTACTGCACAAATCACTTCTCAGTCCTTCAACAAGGAAAGCTCTGCTGACAACTAAAGGTTGAACTATTTTTAGTCTAGTGGTGATTTTTCTAAACTTTCAATCAGATGAATTGAACTCAGAGGAACCACAGTGGCCTCCTGTAAAACTGCAGCAGGACCAGAGAATCACAATCTGCCTCCTATCAGCTTTTATTGGCTCATTGGAGGATGGAGGGATTTTATATGACAGACAAAACTTTACTAAAATACAGACAGTATTGAGCAAAATTCCCTGTTTATAAATCAAGTGTCTCCACTCTTCTTTCCGATTGCTCCTGTCCTTTTTCTCAAGAAAACCTCAACTTTCTGTCTCAGCCTGTTAGTCAGTATTTAAATGTGAAATCTAGTCTCTAGTGACAGGATGAAAATAAGCAGGTTAACAGAAAGTCTGGCTGCCCAGCATTAAAGTTGAACTGGAATAAAATTATTTCACAGACAATAAGATCTCCAGTAGCAAATTGTATCTGAAATAAATTAGAGAAGTGGAGCATAAACTTTATAATGTTATTTTACTAAGAAACAACACATTGGGACAATAATTGTTGCAGTTTGTCTTTAAGATGATCAATATAAATTTTAGGCTGATTTCCACTTCTTGTGTTTAAAAAATATAAACTGAAATATTTGAATAAAAATGAAAAGATTTAATGTTGCTTGAAAAAAAGTATTTAATTGGAACTTCATGAAACATTGTTAATAATCACTTCATGTGATGATCTACTTACAAACAGTTAGTGAGTAATTAGTCCACTGTGTGAACTTATAGTATCCTCTTCCTCTGCAGCTGAATGTGTCTCTATCAGCTGCATTGACCTTTAATTCAATGGATACTGGAGAGTTTCTATTGGTTGTCCTCCATTCATACGCCCACCACCAAACTCCTTCTCCTTCATTGATCTCACATCTCAGAGTGACCGTCTCTCCTCTGAATATTTCAGACCAGTTGGATTTCAGGGTCACAGTGGGTTTAATGGAAACTGATCACATAAAGAAATATAAAAAAATGAAATTAGAAGTAAATCTTTTGCTCCAATTTGAGGGTTATCTTTCACAGAAATCAATTTGGAGTTCAAAGGTCAAACTGATCTAAGAAAAAGAAATAAACAAGTTGAATAAGTTGAATAAGTGACTATTTTTATTCAAGTATAAAATAGTGACTTCTAAACATAAAGGATAATTAATATTAGTTGTAGAAGATATTAGAATAAAGAAAACACTTTTCAAATCAGAACTTTTTAAACTTAAAGATATTTCATAGCAGGTTGATTAAATATCAAGCTTATACTACAAAATTCAGTTTAACATTATTAGATAATTTAATATGATATGTACTGTCAGTAGTTAAAAAAACGAGTATCTTCAATAAAAGTATTTAACAAGTTTAAGACAATTTGGATGAACAGAAACTAAACTCACCAGATTTCCATAGGGTGACTTCATTGCTGGTTTCAGTGTAGAAAACTGGATCTCCTCTTCCTCCTCTTCCCCCTCTGCAGCTGTAAACACCTTCATTTGAGACGATGAAGACTCCACCTGGTTCAGTGGTTGATATGTTCCGATCTGTAGGATGTGAATGTCTGAACCAGTAAATCTTCCAGCCTTCACCGATGTCCACAGAGCAGTTCAGTGCTACACTGCCCCCTGCTGGTATGATTGTATCCTTCACTGTCACTGAGGCTCTGGGTTTATTTGCAGCTGATTGAGGGAAAGAAAAAAAAGAACAAAATTATCAAAATTGTGCTTGTTTCAATACATTCTGTTTGGTCCATTTATACAGCACCAGTTAATAAATGACACAGGTCATTTGCTGTAAAACTGCAGCAGGACCAGAGAATCACAATCTGCCTCCTATCAGCTTTTATTGAATCATTTAAAGACAGATAGATTTTATACGAGACAAAACTTTACTAAAATACAGACAGTGTTGAGCAGAATTCACTGTTAATAAATCAATTGTTTACTCTCCAATTGCTTCTTTCCAATATTCCAATGTAAAATCTCATCATTATTACATTTTACATTTGGTGACTGAACTCGATTTTACAGTCACTAAACAACAGTGACTTCTAATAAGCAGATCAACAAAAAATCTGGTTGCCCAGCATCAAAGTGGATTAAGCATCTTTCATGAACAATAAGATCTCACAGTGACACAAATTAGAGAATTGAAGCATAAACATTATAATATATTACTAAGGAAAACTGCACATGTGCAGTCGATTTGAGTATGTATTTATTTTTTATTATTATTATTATTATTATTATTATTATTATTATTATTATTATTATTATTATTAACATTTATTTTAGTTTGCCTTAGAAGTTGATCAATAAATGATTTTAGGAAGCAGGAAACACTGACTTTTAGTTCTTGTGTTTGAAAATGTAAATTAAAATATTAAAGAAACATAACATGTTTAATGATAATAAAAGTGAACTGTTTAGATGAAACTTGATGATGCATTGTAAATAATCACTTCACGTCTATAATAGATGATCTACTTACCAACAGTTAATGAGTAATTAGTCCATTGTGTGAACTGATGGTTTCCTTTTCCTCTGCAGCTGAATGTACCACTGTGAGCGTAGTTGATCCTGTATTCACTGGATGTTGTAGAGTTTCCTGTGTTTGGTCTCCATTCATACGTCCACTCAGTTCCTCCTCCTCCTTGGATCTCACATGTCAGAGTTATTCTCTCTCCTCTGAATATTTTAGACCAGTTGGGTTTCCGGCTCACAGTGGGTTTAATGGAAACTGTTCAAATAAAGAAATCTCTCATTAGAAATGTTACATGTAAAACTTTGACAAAAAATAAAATAAATAAATAAATAAATCTTAGGTGACACAGAAATGAAAACGAATGTATTCATTTAAAAATCTTTAAACCTAGAAAAAGTATATTTTATACCCAGTCACTTCCTTTGTATCAACTTATCAAAGAATCAGTAAAAAAATAAATAATGAAACTAATAATAATTAGTAAAATTGTCAAATGATTGGAGGTGAACACTACAAAATGAATTATTTAAATCAGTTTGCACTATTAAATACCGATTGACATCATCAGGCTGCATAGTAATCATTTAGCTTTTTTAGCTAAATAATTATTTAGAAGATGTGCAGTGTTCCCTGCACATCTTCTTGTTCAGCTGTGAGGAGCTGTGTTCTTCACAGGTGGAAGAGAACAAGATACAAGATACAAGAATTATCTGTTCAGTGTTGGAGAAAAATTGCAGCACAATTGCAGGTGTTTAATCTACACTGTAAAAACAAATCCAAAATCTTAATAGATATTTTGGTCTAGTTTCTAGTGCAAATATCTTTGAACTTGAAATTTATGAGTTACTTGTCAGCAAAATATAGACAGTTGTTTTAAGTCAGTAATTCTTAAATATTGATGGAAAAATACTAATTCCACTGACAGATTATTTCACTTATCACAAGAAGAAAATGTGGTGAGCTTCAAAATAAACGATTTCCAGAACAGAACCATTTTTCCTCTGATTGACAGCTTTGAAACCTTCACACACACAAGAGTGGTGTTAAATTTAACTGCAGGTGTTTGCAGGATGAACCGGGGAGAAAAGGTGACCCTACAGGAAGATCCACACAGATCAGAAGTTTTTACATCGCTGCACTTTCTGTGAGGATTTTTCATTTTACCAACCCAAGGCAGGCAAACTGTGTTCATGCTTGAATTTTAACAGACCATCGATCTAAAATCCTAGCATTCATATATCAAGAATGTCAAATTGTTAAATTTGATGAATGGTTGGTCCTGAGATAGAAGATTAAATTGTAAATTTAGGATTTAATTAGAAAGTCCAAAGAATCATCTTCATCGTTTGACTGTTTTGTTGCTATTAATAATCTTTGTGTTTAAGCTTGATTTGTTCACAGATTTCACCAAACGTATATTTAAACACTGCCGATGCAGGACCAGGTCAGGGCAGCAGGGATTTGATGGGGTTTGTGCTCAAAGTGTTAGAACATTTATATCACTGAATGGATGGATGGTTGGCAGGGAAACCATGAACTCAAATAATAAACAATGAATCTTAAAGACAATCTGTCCACTGATCCAGACTAATGCTTATTAACAGAAAACACAAGAATAAATCACTGGATGTATTTTAGTCATGTTTGTCTTTGGGGATCCATTGGAAAGCAGAATCACTTAAAAAAAACTTGTTCAAAAGCTTTTGAAGTCTCTATGAGAAAATACACTCTTTAGACAGAAGACAACAAAGATCCAATAATAACTGCCGGAAATGTAAAAAATGGTAGTCAGTTCTCTATTAGAGTCAAAAATAATGAAATATGCATGATTACAAACTGATTACAAACATTTATTAATTCGTCAGATTAATAAATGTCAGTATAAATAAAAGGGAAGTAACTTTGTCCACATGAACTTTTTGCCTTCAGTTCACAGACAGCAGATGGCGCTAAAGAGAGAAAACATTTCAACTTTTACAGAAAAGCACAAACCTTTCTCCTCTTTAAGTTTCCTCTCATGTGAATCTTCAGTTTTAAACACATAAACATCTAATAAACATGGTAACTTCATATGATAATGTAAGATGCTGAGGCAGCCATTAAATACATTAGACAGTTTGATCTTGAAAGCAGAAAGTTACTGACTTGTTTCCGTGTCTCTTTCCTGATTATCATCTTTATTTCCTGATTCACTCGGAAATGTTGAGTTGATCAAATAGAGAGAAAAATATTCATCTACTGTTAATATTTTGTACATAAAGATCTTTATTTCAACACAGATTGATGCACTTTTGTTCAGTTAGTCGAACTAGCTTTCAAATAAAACTGATAAAAATATATATTTAATTTAAAATGCATAAAAAGTTGGTGATTAATTATATATTCATCATAAACTGAATGAAAAACGAACAAGAAAAACTGATTCTCACCTTCAGCATTTACATAGATGAGATTACTGAGAACTGCAATGAAGAGCAGAAGCTGATCAGATATGATTAAAGTCAAAACAAATATATTTTAACTTTAGCAGCATTTCAGGTAAAAATGGTTTGGTTTTAGAAATAAAGTCAGAGATAAAATATGTAATGCCAAAAAGACTTCATGTAAAAAGCATTTATATAACAACACCAAGACAACATGTTGAGTTAATCATAGAAACACACATCGCTTCTTTTCAAAATGGTAGAGAAACAGATCAAATAGAGATAAACTCTTTTTCCTTCATGCAGAATCATTTTGATCATTAAACATGAAGTCAGTGATGAACTTACAGAAAAATCCCAGCATGCAGAGCAGAGCGTTCTCCATCCTCACATCCAGACCTTCTGCTCATCAGAAAGGTTTCTACGTTGTTTTATCTATAATTATGAAGCAGAAGTTACATCTGCCACAAATAAATGACATCAGCATGTTCTATGCTTCTCAGTATAGCTGTGTGTTTCCTTCCCTTTATCACAATTATCAGAATCCAGCAGCAGCAGCTTTGACCACAGCAGTTAGTGGGTTTTATTTCCTGTCCACTGCACAAAAATTTCAACCCGTTTCTTGAAAAAAAAACTACAAATGTGGTTTTAAAAATACCCTGACTTTAAACAAATATTGCATGTTGTAAAGAAAAACATTTTTGTCAGCAGTTTTGGGCTTAAGTTAGCAAAATAACTCCTTCCCTTTCACCTTAATTAATGTCTCGTTTTTGCATGCATGCTTTTCAAAAATTATTTTTTTTACACCTTCTTCAAATAACTTCCTGTCAGCTGCTTCTCAGCTCAGTGATGAACAAAGCAAGACGTTCAACCTTAAATATCTGAGCCACAATATGTTCTTGATGATCCACCAGCCCTGATGGACGATAACATGGATGCAGAGAATAAAGCTGAGGGTAATAATAGTCTTTAAAATTTAAACTGGTTCAAATCAGTTTTTTTTTCCTTCTTCTAGGACTTTTTCATTTTTCAACATGTGTTTCTGTTGCTGAAAAATGTACATTTTCTTGATACAAGGTTTTCTGTCCAACAGTGATAATATGTTTATACTATTTGTTTATGGAGATGTTTTGTTTTGTTTTTCTGGTTGCTAGAGGGAGATAGAAACTTTATGGTTCCTCTTTGTGTCTAAAGAGTCTCATAGTGAGAATTATCTCATTATCGCATTCAGATATGAACTGAACTGTAATAAAAACAGGAGAAGTAATACTGTGCCAAGCAAATGCAGTCAGACTGACCTCCAAAACTAAAATGAACAGTATTACTGTTCATTTTAGTATTAAGTGAAGTCTATCTATGCTTTCTGTGCTATAGGGACAAATTACAGTCCTGCTTACCGTTATTGGCACCCCTTCATGATTTGCATAGCTGAGTGAATATCTTCAGAAATAAATGGAAATGTTCAAAACTTATATCAGCAGGATCTTTCAATTTCAGGTCCAAAGTAATTTAACAAAGGCAATTACCATTTCAACATAAATATTTTAATTCCAAAGGACAAAACAGAAAACCAGCATGTGCACTAATATTTATAACACCCCTCTTTAATATTTGGTCGCGGAGCCTTTGGCAGCAATGACGGCCTCCAAACGTTTCTTATAATTCATCTATAAGCTTCTTGCACTTCTTGGGTGGCATTTTCTCTCACTTCTTTTGCAATATGCTCAAGCTCTTGTACATTTGCAGGGTTCCTTTCTCCAATGGCAAATTTCAGCTCCACCCAAAGACTTTCAATTGGATTGAGATCAGGACTCATTGCTGGCCATTTTAAAACGGTCCATTTTTTCCCTTTCATCCAGGCGTGTGTGCTTTTGGAGGTGTGCTTTGGGTCGTTGTCTTGCTGGAGGACCCAGGATCTTCGCCGCAAACCAAGTTTCCTTACACAGGGCAAGACATTTCGCTCTGGAATTGCTTGATAATCTTCTGATTTCATGATGCCTGCGATACGGTCAAGGCCTCCAGTACCAGAAGCTGCAAGCAGCCCCACAGCATTATGATTCCTCCACCATGCTTGACTGTTGGTATGGTGTCATTTTCTTTAAAGGCTTCATTGCGCCGTCTGTAAACATATTGTTTGTGTGATTTACCAAAAAGCTCCACTTTTGTTTCATCTGTCCATAAAACGTTGTCCCAGAAGGATTGAGGTTTGTCCAGGTTCTCTTTTGCAAAGATCAAACATTCTTTTTTATGTCTTTTCTTCAGCAATGGAGTCTTCCTTGGCCTCCGCCCATAAAGCCCCACTTTGTTTAGTGTGCGGCGTATGGTACTTGTTGAAACAATCACACCAGACTGCTCCAGGTTGGTATTTAGGTCTTTAGATGTTAGATGTGGTGTTTTTTCCACCATTCGCACCAACCGTCGAAGACTTCTGTCATCAATTTTTCTCTTCCCCCCACGTCCAGGGGTTCTTGACTGTTCCACTTCTTAATAACATTACGCACCGTTGAAACAGGGATACCAAGGTCTTTGGAGAGGCCTTTATACCCTTTGGAGGTCTTGTGCTTGCAAATAATAGCGTTTCTGATGGCCTCAAACAGCTCCTTTGTCTTTACCATTGTCACATGTGGAGATGAACTAACAAGTGGCTTTTAAAGCACCAACATGATCATTCATTGGTTAATTCATGTCACATGTGTGGAGGCAGTCCATCACAAGTGATCTTTATGTGTGATTTGCAACAGGTGAGCCAAATTGGGTTTTCATATTGATTTGCAGCAAAGGGTGCCAATACCATTGGCATGATAAAAATTATGTTTTTTCTTTGTTTTCCTCATAATGTTTATCTTTTTAAATGTTTTTGATCATTTGTTGTTTTGCATCAAGCACAGCTATCTTGGTGTTTCTCTTGATGAATTCCCTTCAATAAATATTCCATTCTATGTACTTAAACTTCATGGGTGCCAATAATGGTGAGCAGGACTGACATTTCATTTAGCATGCTATCAACTGTGGCCCTTAGTTTGAAATTCCCATTTTATCCACAATCAAGCATCAAAGTGATGGTTCATACAATGTGCTGTTCATTTGCACAAAGCTCCTACTTAGAGCTGCAGTCCTCAGCCAATCTCCCTCCACACAGAGCACTCTTCCCTTCTGCCTCCCCCATGTAGCTCCTCCAGGTTCATAATAAATAAACTACTTCTCAGTCTGATGCTCCAAAGCAAAGTGCTGAAAGGGGAAGTGTCGGATAGCAACTCCTTAAATAGACAGAGGCCAATTTCCGGTTCTACAAGCAGCTGTGATGCAAAATCAAATTTCTTTTAACTTATTTTTATACTGACAGCCTTTTCATAACTGCAGGTAACATAGTTAGCAGATTGAGCAATAAAAGTGCATAACTGGCCTTTAAGGCCTGGAGTTGATGATTCCTTTGCCATAAACTTACTTGTTGACTAAATTTCTAACAGGCCATGCTGAGCCATAGTTCTATGTTGTTCTATTAAATATCTTCATCAGGTTCTCCAGGCTGGGTTAAGGAATGAAGTTCAAGTGTATTCAAAGATTAATAGAAAGCAACTTTGATTAGGAACCATTTACTCTTGAATACAGTTGCATTTAAAAAAGAGCTAAAAATATTTAGTTTCCTCATTTCTGAGAACAGCACTAACACCAAGTCACTAATATATGCAAGAGAGATGAGGATCTATTCTAATTGAATGGAAACTTATATATGCAAGAGAGATGAGGATCTATTCTAATTGAATGGAAAACTTAACAGATGTGTATCAGAAATATTCTTTGAAAATTAGCTGTGTGTAGGCTTTAGGGAGGAACCTTAAACATGCCACAAACCATTAGTGGCCAAAACTGATCAGCTAGAAACAGATGGAGCTTTTAAGGAAGCTGCAAAGTGACACACACACACACACACACACACACACACACACACACACACACACACACACACACGCACACACACACACACACACTGTCATGTTCGAGGGTAGGCTTCTAACCCACATGCAGAATCAGACCCGGGAGGCAACAATTAATAAGAATTTATTTACAAAATACAATCACAGGTGCCTTACAGGTGATCCTTTGGACCGAGACGTTGCATATTGTTTATTGTTTTCAGATTCAGCTCCAGAGCCACAGCAGCAGATGAACCAATCAGAAATGAGCTTATTTTTGGAGTATTAAAAGGAAGTGTATAGACATGATATGCTTACAGTCATTTACATTATGATGTGCTTACATATTTAAAAAGTATGTATAGTATTCTGACAATATCTCACTGACAAATTTAATTAGTGTATTTATAATCATAATATAACAAAATGGCTCAGTTTAGAAAATACTAGCTTCTGGTTTTGGTTTCCATGTACATTTGTTTTGCGTTGCTTGCCAAAAATATTTATAGTGCCACAATAAACTGGGATGATGAAACTCTGTACTTTATGGTTAAATTATTAGTCTGTACCTCCATCTAGTGGCTGTTACATGACACTGCAACAGATTTATTGCTTCAGGGCTCTCTCTGTAGGTTATTCAAATATCCAGATGTTAAATATTTTTGGAGATGGCAAAACAAGTCATGTTTAATTTCAAGGTTTTAAGCTTCGAAACTTCATGGCAATAAACATTGTGGGCTCTGATACCAGGCGGCTCTCATGCTTATGAACTTCAGTGCTGCTATTGAAATTTTACAAATTGGACAATTTTAAAATGTCTGTAATAAAAAAAATATTTGAATTTGGGCATCTTGTGTAATTAATCTTTCCATGTAATTTTCCATGTAATCTTAGCCTAAAACAGTGTAAATACTGTAGTGTAGTTATGCATGTCATTTACAAAATAGGTACGTAGGAATAAAGACGAATTAAGAGTAATAAAAATTGTAGTTTATTATCAATAGCAGGAAATCAAAAATAAAAATTAAGTGTAATTTAAATACATTATTAAATTAATAGTATATTTAAAATATATTTGAAGTATATTTAATATATATATATCTTTAATATAATTTTGAGACATTATATAATTAATAACACTCAAAATATAATAATTATATCAAAATGTAATAATAAAGCTCTGAAATATGAAATTTAAAAAGTATACTTTAAGTACACTAAGTATACTTGAAGTTATTCCAAAAAAGTACGTGTAGTATACTGAAGTATACTATTAGCTGTAATTTTATACAATTTAAATACTACTAAATTATACTAAGTACAAAATAAGTTGTTCCAAAATAGTACAGTTGAAGTACATCGATAAAAGTATACTAAAGTATGTTAAAATTTAGTATACTAAAGTATACTTTTTTTTTTTTACCAGGGAGCAAACAAAAAAGAGAGACGCAAACAAACTAAATGCAACAAACAAAAAAAGAGATGCAAACAAATGAAATGCAGCAAGGCTTAGCTTTAATCAGTCAAACTCATTAGCTCAGGAATAAATTAATTACTTTAGTGAACCAAAAGTTTTTTTACAGCTATTACCTGGCTTACCTGTGTTTCACCTCCACTCAGGGGAAAACTATCGGGAGTTTTTAAAACGATTTGCCGGGAGACAAGCGTTCTCTCTCGGTGTACGGAACCTGGAGCGGCGAGTGAAGCTGGCTGTTAATGCAGCGGGAGCAGACATCTCCGAAAACGTCGGAGCAATACTGCAATTAAGTGATTTATTAATGAATCGAGCAGATTTTTGAGATCTATACATCTACATTCTCGCCTAAAAACATTGTAAAAAATCATTTTGTGTTACTTTAAGTGTAACACAGCAAAAATAATTTTGCCGCCATTGCTTCTTTTCTGAACCCCCGCTTAAAGGATGTAGAGCCTAAATTTGGACACAGCTGTTTTTTGTTCGACTCCCTCTAGTGGTCTAGAGCACTTCCGTTTTCAACACTTGTTTGCATCTTTTCTTTGCTGCATTTCATTTGTGGTTGTATTCTTTTTTGTTTGCGTCTACTTTTATGTTTTCTGCATTTTATTTGTGTGCGTCTTTTTTTGTTTGCATGTTTTCTCTGTTGCTGCGCATTTGCACCTGTCGGCCACAGTAGTACCCCCATCTAGAGGCTGTTCAACGGCACTGCAGCAGATTTACTGCCTAGGATAGAATATTCAAATCTTAATGTATTTTTGGAGATGGCAGAAAAAAAAAATCACGCTTTCAAGGTTTGACTCTTCAGGACATTAAACACTGTGCGCTCCAATTCCAGGTGGCGCTCAGGCTCATCAACTTCATTGTTGCTATGGAGATTTTACTCCCGTCTTATTTCTTCTTTCCTTCTGACCCAATAGGTGAACATTGACTCTTCCTTATCAACTACTATTGTTAAATTCTCCTTGATAAAATTATTAAAATGTCTTACAGGGAAGTTTTTTTTGAGTCTTCAAGAAAATAATGTTGGTCAGATTTTACATTGCAGACAGAATAGTTTTCCTAACCTTTTTAACTTAGCATAAACTCAGTCAAAGCTGAACAACAGAGCCAATATGCCATTTCTTCTGTACAGAAGAACACATGTTAATGTAAAATGACACTTAGAAAGTGTCCCTTTACAAGAATTTAACTTAATTGCAAAAGAAACTTAAAACAGCAAATTTGAAAGCGTGCTACACATTTGAATGTTAATATTCAACAGGATCAAATCATTACAAGCATCTCAAAGATGAACAGGATGTATTTTTGTTACATTTCATAAATCTTATAAGCAATGGACAGTGAATATAATAGACAGCTCTTTGCTAAAACAAAAACGGAAGAGGAATTTCTGATACCTGGAATACATTTTAGTTTACAATAAAATTATTTAAAAGCACAGGGTTATCCGAGATAACAGCTTCGATCTCATGAAACATGGAGAAGAATGAACCATCACGTCACTCAGAGTCTGTTGCTGTGGGATCGTTTTTCCCTGCCAGAAGAGAGATAAGTCAGTGAGATCAGCATTAAAAATGAATTAAAGCTTCTGAGACTTGAACATGCTCAAAAATATTATTATGTATTTAATTCTAAATCAGTGATTTAATTTAAACCTTCTGTTTTCAGGAAACCAGGAAAACAAAGGTTGACACAGCTAGAAGAGCGAAACATGAACTGTTTTGGTTCGTCTAAAAATAAACACTGGATCAAAAAGCATTAAGGTGAATGCAGAAGCAATCTACCTTTTTATTGCTCTTTGTTTTGGGTAGTCAATGCATTATGTCTAGAGTTACTATGTAGGTGTTCAGCTATAATTACCTGGGTCAATGTTAGCATAGTCAGAATCTTCTGATGGATGACGAATCCTCTCTGCTGAGATTGTCAGATGAATACATTGAAAAAGAGAGAAAATCTTAAAATTATATCATATTTTTTGCAATTTAAGTGTTGGAGTAACTTTTTGAAGCATTATTTGTTCGAATATTTAACATGTTACATATTTCAGTATTTTCCACCATCAGTCTCTTTAAATCAGCCAGTGTAGCTGGTATAAAACTTTTACTTTACTGTTTCCAGAGGCTGTGCTGAACTTGATTGTTTCATAGAGGGACTGGTCACCTACAGACAATAAAAAAATGGTTAAAGTTTAAATGACTGGAAATGGATCAAATACTCACATCATTTTCACACAAAGTAAATGTCATAATTTATGATTTTAGCTGTGTTTGATTAGTTTGATATCTTTCCTGACAGTACTTGAATATTTCTTACTCGTGAATTTTTCTCATTTCATGGTATAATGAATATATTTTTAGACTGTTGAATAATGATAATTATGGATCATTTCTGTCAGATGAATGACTTTATTTTTATATCCAAACAGCATTAATGCAGAAATGTCATTCCCTGAGTTATTTGTGATTCAGCTTAATTCTTTGTTTTCTTTGTTTATGAAACTGATTCATTACTAAAAAAAAAAAAAAAAAGATCTATAGAGTAATTAATCAGTAATAATGAAGATGTTTAATGTGAGACGAACCATGAAGCAGAGAGCTGTAAGCAGAACCGTCATTCTGGGTCACTTCATAATTTGTGGCTGAGGCTGGATTGATTCTCTCTGGTTGACTCAATCTGAAAAGAAGAGACAAAAATTCATTAATGAAAGTAATTATTTGATGCATGATTAGAAAGAAAGAAGATATTTTTACTGACCTGTTAATGATTAAATCTGCAGGGAAAAAGACATTTAATGATTTTTATCCTATTTATAGTTAATCTTAAAAATAAATTTGAAACATTGGAACAAAAACTTATTTAACTGAATCTGATCCAATATGATCAGAAACAGGTCTCACCTTTGTACTGCTTGTAGCACCACAAAAAGAGCAGGAAAATGATGAGAAGGACTCCACTAACTAGTGCAACGATCAACGTCAGAGGAAACGAAGAGCTGACAGGACTGGGCACAGATACTGGAAATAAGAAACATTAAAAATGAATAAATCTTATTTAGGAACAGATTTTATGACATCCTCTTCTGTTTTGTAAAAATGCGATTTCAAACTTGGACAAACAGAACCTGCAGCTGATCCACAAAAGCATCAGCATTCACTGTGTTTCTCTCTAATAGCAAAATGTTCTTACCGAATAAAACGAATCAAACATTTTCCTCCTCCTCACCTCTAACAGACATCCAGCTCCTTGGTGAATCTTTTCCTGAATGTTGACATTTGTAGAAACCTTCATCTGACTTTGTCACTGCAGAGATCTTCAGCTCCCCTCTGCTGCCAGAGTCAAGGAGTTTATCATTGTGATAGAAAAACACATTGGAGAGAAGTTGTTGTTTTTTATCTCTGCAGCTCAGAGTAACAGGATCTCCCACAGTCACAGGTTGAGCAGGGCTCAGCAGGAGAGGAGCAGAATCATCATCTGTAAAACAATCAGAGGATTTTAACACTTAGAGGTTGGTGGGAGCAGAACTAACCATCTTTAAACAAAGTCATGCTTTATCATATGAAATGATAAAGCATTTAATTTTTCTTTGTAGTAAAAATTGAATGAAACACAAATACTTTCTATTTGTTTTGTTGATCACTGGAATCCCTGAAATATATACATTTTTTTATACGCAGGCTTGTTTTATGGCCGTCTATAAGAATCAGCATCACATGATTTGCAAACTCGGACATTTTATCATCAAAAACTTATATGTGTTTCACTTTAAAGATGAAGTGATAGTTTTATATCACTAAAATAACAACTATGCAGCCAGAGTGACTTCAGTGGTCTTTTGGTAACTCTTTTATGTAATGCATGTGGATGTATGCCAAGCACATGAGGAAGCTAAACTGAAAAAGTAAGTAGATCAATAAACATTCGTCTCTGTCTCTGAGCTCTGATTCAGTTTCTGTGTTCTTCCAGTTCCAGATGTTCTACTCACTCAAAGTCAGATTTATCATCAAACCTGAAGAAACTCTGCTCTAGCTCCATCAAATTTCTGCTTCCTGAATACAGAAACGTGTTTGAACAGCTAAACACAGTTCAGACGTCCACCACAAAGGACAAAATTCCTCCACAACTGAAAAAAATTCACCTCAAGTCATTGCAAACACTTGTTTGCAGTTAGTGGAGGCCCAACTGGGCACCAGGTTTAGTGGTGAACCACTTTTTTTTTTTTTTTCTTCTTCCTTCATAGTAAACAATTTCAAAACTACATGTTGTGTTTACTTTTTTTTTTAACATGCACTTGATGATTCGAAACATTTAAGTGTGACAAACGGACAAAAACAGTAGCAAATCAGGAAGGGAGCGAGGACTTTATCATACCATTGTATGAAAACAGCATATACCCTGGAACGTACAAATTAGGTTGAAATGTAATGAGAAGGGAAATGAAAAGATGATAAATAACAACCTACACCGTGCAGTGATGTTCACTGCGTTGCTGAACTCTCCTGTTCCAGGCTCACACCAGTAAACGCCAGTATGATTCTGGTCTATGACGATGACACACGTAGATCCACTGATCCTGCCCCACTTGGAGCAGTCTGACAGATCTCCTGTTTTTGTAAACCTCCTCACTCTCCACTCAGCAGAGTTTCCCTCACAGCTCAGAGACACAAAGTCAAAGATGAAGTGTTGAACTCTGTCAGGAATCACTGAGAGAGAAGCTGCTGGACGAGGATCTGGAAAACAAAGACAGGATTTCATCTGAGCAAAGAAACGTTAAATACACGATGGTTTGTTCATCTTTCATAATAAAGATCAGGTAATAAACATTTCAATACATTGATCAAACTTTGTTTCTTCTTAACAATCATAATATTTGAGCAGATCTCAACTAAAAAAAAAAATCAGACATTTTACAAACAAACGGAATAAATGGTTTTATTTGTCACAATTTGTGAGCTTTTCATTTCGTGTATATAGTACTTCACAGCTTTGTCTTTGTTGTGAAACTGTTTGTTGCCAGCTTAATGACTTTTGACAACTATTCTTTTTGATTGTTTTCAGTTCAGTGGTGATTTATTGAGAGTGGAACGGTGTTGGAGTTTTCTCAGAACTGAGTGAAGATTTTCTGTGGAAGAAGTTATTGCTCCAAGAGCTCAGAAAGTGATTCAAACCTTCATTTTCTTACATCTAATCAATCATAACCCTCTGTACTTCGGTCTGGATCAGCTTAATTACCGATTACCAGCCGTACAAAAACTGAAACCAAAAACAATGATTACTCCAGCTAACATTAATTGGAGTAATCAAACTGAGTTGTTGTTAAACTGCTCTGTTTAAATAACCTTGAAAGAAGACGTTACCAAATGCTAACAAATGTCTCTGAACCTCATGCCACTAAAAGACAAGAACAAAAAAAGTCACAGCAAGAATCCAAAGTAACTCATGTTTATTATCTGGTAAAGTATTAAGAATCTGAATCTTATTCCGCCTTTTTGGTTGATTGTTAGAAACCCATGAACAGACAATGTGAAGCATACTCTTGATTCATTTTGAAGATAATGATTAAAGATTCAACATAACTAAATGAAACTGAAATCATGACTCCTGTTTATTTATGGCATAGAGAAAAACTGACCTGCAGACCAGACAACCTTTGGTTCACTGTAATCAGTGTAATCTGCTGGTTCTCCTCTTCCTGCTCTGCACACAAATCCTGCTGTGAGAGTCGGTCCATTAACGATGAAGGAGTTCTGCTCAGTCCCACTGGTGCTGCCAGGAAGCAGCTCATGGCTGTAGACTTGCTCGTACCACTTGGATGAATGAGGAACAGCTTTATACCAGTAAAACCTCCATCCTGCATCCGGAGGTTTAATCTTACAGCTCAGAGTCACTGAGGCTCCAGGTCTCAGCCATGATGGAGGCACAAAGAGGAACGGAACAAGTTTACCTGTCGAAATCAAACATTATAAAACATCAATGTTATTATATTAGAATCTCACAACAATTAAAATGTTGTACCTTGAAACGTGTTAGAAATGTAATAATGAATTAAATACTGGCAATGAATACTGAGCTAAGTTTCTTGCTGCAAGTGCTACCAGCAGTGTAACTTGTATTTTGTAATGTGACAGATACAGTACATAAATAAAATCCCTAAGGTATGTGTTGTCAGAGGTGTAACTGATACAAGCCTCTTTTCTACGCTTTTTGTTTCCTCAGATTTGATCAAAATTTGAGTATTAGAAAAATTTGATTCAATGGTCAAAATGGTCAAATTATATTTTCCCCTCTGCCAACCTGTTTGCTTTCAGTCACAATGACTCAAATCGTCACTGTGAAATACAGACTGGTTTAATCGGGAGACATAAAGGCTGTAAATAAATTCTCCAAAAAAAACTTGATGAATTTGATTCAAACATCTTTATTGCTACATATGGCAGAATAACAGTCAGGATCAAACACTTATCTTAAGTCTGCTAAGCAGTGTGAGACGGACTTCATTTAAAGCATCATGAGTAAAAAATAAACATGTTATTCTGCTCTGGTTAGTTTTACTCTGTTGGTTTTTCTTACAAGCTGCAGCACTGAAAAACAAATTCAAGATTCAGAGCTCATTTGTTTTTCATTGATGAACAGAAACTGAACTCACCAATTTCATGAATAATGACCTCTGTGCTGTTTTCAGTGTAGAAAACTGGATCTCCTCTTCCTCCTCTGCAGCTGTACACACCTCCATCTGAGACGATGAAGACTCCGTTTGTTTTATTGATTCTGATAGGCTGATCTGGATCCTGTCTGAACCAGTAAATCTTCCAGCCTTCACCGAGGTCAGAGCAGGTCAGTGTTACACTGCCCCCTGCTGGTATGATCGTATCACTTGCTGTCAGTTTGGCTCTGGGGTTATTTAATGCTGATTGAGGCAAAGACAAAAATAAAGTCATCAAAATTTGACTCGTTTTAGTACAATTCAGTTTCATTTATTCATTTATGCAGCACCACTTCATAACAACCATTAGTCACTTTATTAGACAAACAGGTCCAACTCATATAGAGATCAACGCAATTATTGAATCTTTTACTTTGCCAAAAGGTTGAACTGTTTTTAGTCTAGTGGTGATTTTTCTAAACTTTCAATCAGATGAATTGAACTCAGAGGAACCACAGTGGCCTCCTGGAAAACTGCAGCAGGACCAGAGAATCACAATCAGCTTTTATAGGCTCATTGAAGGATGGAGGGATTTTATATGAGACACAAAACTTTACTAAAATAGAGACAGTATTGTGCAAAAATCTTGGTTTAGCCATCAATTCTCTACACTCTCCTTCCAAGAAAGCAAAAAGTTTTGTCATCTTTAAGAGTGATTGTTTTAGAAATTCCTTCAGACTTTTATAGTAATTCAAGTGTTTTTGTTTTTCTATCAATTTTCTCTGTTTTATTATTAACCACAAACACTTTAATATATTATTCATATTAAACTGAGAATTATTAAAATGTTCCCTGGATTATTTTTTTCTTGCAGAAGTTCATTAAGTTTAAACCTTCTAACACTGTTTTAGATAGAAAAATCCTCATCTGCACCCAACTGTAGCAACATTTTCCTAAGAAGTCGATCTATGCATGATTTTAGGTGCAGGAAAAGCTGATTTTTAGTTTTTGTGTTCAAAACCTTGAATTAAAAATACTTCAACAACAAAATATTTTAAGAAACCATTAACTGTTTAAATATGAAATAAATAACCTACTTACAAACATTTAATGAGAAATTATCACTCCATTGTGTTTGCCGATTGTTTTCTTCTCCACTGCAGCTGTATTTGTTACTGTAAGGTGGTGGGGTCATGTATTCACTGGATTTTGGAGGATACAGTAAATCAAGTTCTTTCCATAAATACATCCACTCACTTCCTCCTCCAATGATCTCACATTTCAGAGTGACTTTCTCGCCTCTGAACATCAGAGACCAGTTGGGTTGCTGGATTACAGTGGGTTTAATGGAAGCTGTTCACATAAAGAAATCTCTGGTTAGAAATATAACAGATAGGATATCTTGCCGTGACAATAATTGATTGTATTCAATGGTTAACATGACAAAAAAATAAATATTTTAAAACTGTAAATTATAAGTTGACTTTTTTATAGACAAAAAGTAGTCATAGATAATACAGAAATAAAAAGAATGTTAAATTCAAAATCTTTAAACTTAAAAAAAGTAATAATCATTTTATTTTTATTTTTTACCAGGGTCTCGTATGAACATTGCATCTGAGGTCAGTGTAGTTGGTTCCTTTGTGACGTCTGATCAGAATCAGAAAAAAAAAAAAAAAAATTGTGTCAAATTATTAAATAATTGGAGTTGCAAATGTCTGTCTGTGGTCTGGGGAAGCTGCATGATAAAAAAAAATAATTAGATCAGTTTACACATTGAAGTACATTGTAACACCATCAGGAATCACATTAGTTATTTATCTGGAATTAGGATTCTCTGCACATCTTCCTGTAAGTCTAGAGCTTGGAAATGACAGATCAGTTCCAGCAGAAAACTGAATTTGCCAACAAGTGGAGATTTTAAAACCTTCACACATGAAAACTACAATAAATCTCCCATTAACTGCAGTCAAACCATACATAAAATGTTTCAAAATGCCCATTTGGTTTGACAAAGAAAAAGCTCTTGCAGTTTCATGCATAATGCAGTCTCACAATGCATGAGACTGCATTATGTGCACACAAGTTGGATTATGCAACTGCCCAGCGTTTCAGGTTAATCTTGCAGCATCATTGAGGTTTAGTCAGACAGAGAAAACTTCCCCTGCCTCTAGAAGATCTGATATAATCAGCATGTTCCCTTCCAGAGAAACACACTGGATTCACAATTTTATTATATTAGCATAGATAGAGAACTCTGTCTGTAATGTTTCCTGTTACACCCCAATCATCTGTCTGTAATTTCTTCTTTAATGCTAATTGAATAGTTTCAATTAGATGAAACTATTTTATTTATTTTGAGACTTTTTGTCTGGTTTCAAAGAATATAAAGCTCTGTTAGGGTTTGTAGTGTTCACCTTCGACTCGTTTAGTGTTGTGTGTAATGACTGTGCTAAACTCCGCCCACTAAATTGTGTGACCAATACGCTTGTAATTATCATGTCTTGTTTTTTTTTTTTCTTCTTCTGTAGTTTCACTTTCCCGCTGTGGGAATTGGAGCCAGACATCTTCTTGTGTCACTTCCTGTCTGAGGCCCACACCACAGCTCATTGGATCATCACTTGATGGCTCCACCAATCCCAGAGGGGGGCTCCCTATTTAAACCCCAAGTTCCTCACAGAAATGGTGGCTGTTTAGTTGTTTGAAGTTCTTGCCTCTTTGCTGGGTGATAAATAAGTACAGGTATAAGAAATAAGTGACTTTGTTGTCAATCTTAACTTTTTGCCTTCAGACCACAGACAGCATATGGTGCTGAAGAAAGACAATGTTTCAACTTTTGCTAAGAAGCACAAACATTTCTCCTCTAAGTTTCCTCGTGTGAATTTTCAGTTAAACATCTTATAACCATGGTAACTCCAAATAATGAAGATACAAGGGCAGCCATTAATAAACACATTGCACAGTTTGTGCTTGAAACCAGAATGTTGCTGACTTGACTTTTTTACTGATAAGGCTCTGTCTACTTCTGCTTTATTTGGTCTGTTGTTCTGACCCCCTCTGACCTGATGAGATGATCAAATGGAAAAACAAAATCATCTGCTATTAGTATTTTGTGTTTGAAGATCTTTCATTCAACACAAGTGAATCCAGTGTTGATCAATTAGTCTGATACTCTAACAAGTAGAACTGATAAACAATATACATTCAATTTAAACACATAAAAAGCTGGTTAATTATGTACATATTGGAAACTGAACAAAAAACAAAAGATTCTCACCATCAACATGCGCATATGTAAGGGTACTGAGAACTGCAATAAGTGAAAGCTGAACAGATTTGATCAAAATGACAGAAACATTTAAAACAATCTTTAACCACAGACACATTTCAGGTAAAACTGCTTTGGTTTTATAAAAGAAGGCAGAGAGACAAAATATATGAAACCAAAAAACATTCATAGAGGTATTGTATGGTCAGAGTTAATCGTAGAAAACACAAGATGAAACAGATCAAACAGTGTTAAACTCTATTTCCATCATGCAGAATCATTTTTGATCATTGAACAGAATATTAGTGGTTTACTTACAGAAAAATCCCAGCATGCAGAGCAGAGCGTTCCTCATCCTCACATCCAGACCTTCTGCTCATCAGAAAGGTTTCTGCGTTGTTTTAACTATTAACTCTTTTGCTGATTGTCGCTGCAAACATCAGAGAGTCGACCACAGCTGCTACGTGCTCACGACTGGCACAGTGAGGAATAGACCGTTTATAATGGAAATGCTCGCTACCTGGTATAAACCCGAACTGCACATTAACTGGTTAGTGTGCAACTTGCCAGTTACTTAAACTCATAAAAGCAAGCCGATACTCCAAACCGATACCACTTTTCTGCTGGACTTTCCGCCTGCATGTAATTCAAAGGTTTAACGACACTTCCTACCACATGGTGCTGGTAAGACACCAACGAGTTATTTGCTGATCCTCAAAAAAAGAAAGGAAACAAAACAGAAGAAAAAGGGAGAGGTTACATAATGAGAGGAGGCAAAAATATCCATAATTTGGAGCAGAGGTCAAGTTAGACTTTTTATTTGTCTCTTATTTTGACTAATGTGCCGCCATCAGCTGTGAGACAGCGTACAGATCAGAGATAATACTCTGACAAAAATTGTTCGTATAATGAGCGATTTTGTGACCTTCACCATGTTCTCCAGGTAAAAAGTTGAAACTGTCTGCACTTTTGAAAGGTTTTACGTTTCATTGGAAATCTAAATTCAGACATATTTTATGTAAATATTGCCAAAAAAACAAATAAACAAAAAAAACATGTCTCTCCATAAACTGCTTGTATAACAACAGACAGTGTAACCAACGGCAACACATTCCAAAGATGAAGGAAACCTCTGTGATGTCACAGCCAGAGTCATGCTTGTGATGTCATCAGCTCTGTATGTTTGTAACAAACTTCTACCTTCTTGTCTTTGCTTGCTACACCACTGACGAGTTCAGACATACGCAAAGCAATTCAGGAGTTGTGAGATTTGAAAAATCATTGTTTGGAAAAACATGTCCAATCAAAAGCAACAGCGCTGCAACGGTGGGAGGAAACCCCAGCCGTGTGATCAACATCAGCAACCCTTGCAGGAGAACAGACCGGCTCCTGCTGGCATCCAGGAGAACCAAAGGTTGGCCTCCTTGCAGAGAGACCTGGAGAACACAAAAGCTGAGCTGAAGAAGCAGAGAAAACTTAAAGAGATGTTCGCCAGCCAGCTCAAAGAGATGGAAAAAGACCTGATGGCAGCAGAGGAGCACCAATCTAAACAAGAAGACGACAGAATCAATCAGGCCCAACAAATTGTAGAAGATTTGAGAGCGGAGAAAGATAATCTCCAAGAGAAAATGTCCTGCCAGGAGGAAACGAATAAACTTCTGAAGAGTCAGCTGGAGCAGATAAACATTTCATACCGAGAACTGAACTGGAGATACGAATCAGACGTTTCTGCTTTGAGGCAGCAAATGAATCGTGAGAAAGAAGTCAGTTTAGAAAAAACAAAGAATGACCGTCAGCTCATTGAGGCTCTCAGAGCAGAAAACAACGACCTGAGTCAAAAGATGGCACAACAATTTTCATTGTTAAAGCAGGAATCGACTCAGGTCATTGAAAATCTCCAAGGATCTCTAGAGCAACGTTCAGTTTGTTACCAGGAACTCAGAGCAAAGTATGAAGCAGAGGTTTCTGCTCTGAGGCAGCAAATGAATCATGAGAAAGAAGTCAGTTTAGAAAAAACAAAGAATGACCTTCAGCTCATTGAGGCTCTCAGAGCAGAAAACAACGACCTGAGTCAAAAGATGGCACAACAACTTTCATTGTTAAAGCAGGAATCGACTCAGGTCATTGAACATCTCCAACGGTCTCTAGAGCAAAGTTCAGTTTGTTACCAGGAACTCAGAGCAAGGTATGAAGCAGATGTTTCTGCTCTGAGGCACCACTTGGAAGCTCATAGTCACCAGCTGAACCTTGAGAGAGAAGCTCATTTAGAAAGAACAAAAAGTGACCATCAGCTAATTGAGGCACTAAAAGTGGAAAACCACAGCATGAATCAGAGGATGGCAGGACAGTTTTCTTTATTACACCAGGAATCAACGCAGGCGATTCATAATCTCCAAGTTTCTCTGGAACAGACGACAATCTCATACACTGCCATAAAACATCAAGCGGAAGAATTTAAGCAGAGCATCGATCAAAAAATGGAGGAATTCTCAAACAAAATGCTGAGTGATCAAAATATTATTGACAAACTTGGAGCTGAGAGAGATCATTTGCAAAAAGAACTGACGGCTCTCCAGCAACGGTACTCAAGCTGTGAGTTTTACTATAAAAGGGAGCTGGAGACACTGAAAAACGAGCTTAAAGAAAGAGACGACTTTGGACCACCGAGGAGGAAAGTGGCAAAGCGTCGACTCCAGTTATGAACAACGCTACCCCGGTAAGCAGTGGTGCCCAAAGTCGGTCCTGGAGGGCCGGCATCCTGCATGTTCTAGTTCTCTCCCTGGTGGTAGTAACAACCTCCTCAGCATGTCAGTGTTCCTCTTAGGCCTCAAATGAGCCATCATTTGATGCAGGTGTGTAAAACCAGGGAGAGAAACATGCAGGATGCTGGCCCTCCAGGACCGACTTTGGGCACCACCGTGTTAGAGGACCCAGTAGAGGCAGACGCCAAAGAAAGATCAGTGTGGAAAAAGATACGACACAGTTTGAGGCTCATGAAACCACAAAAGTAGAAGAAAAGCAAGAAAACCTCTGTAGCAAGTGTTGAGAATGAGAATCTCAATCGATGAATCATAATTTGTATTGACACACGGAGCATAAAATCAGCCCAGAAAAGCATTCAGACTTTACTTATTTTATTAACTTTCAGTGCTGAAAGGAGACGCTTTACCATTACATCCGAGAAGAGTTTCTAAAAAAGTCTGTGCAGCGTCTGAGGAGAAGAAGGAGGGTAGGTGATTATAAGGACTGAAAACACTCCCTGAAATCACACCATGTCTCTGTGGCCTGATAAGTTTCTGTTTCTCGTGAGAAATGGACCTTGGTGTCTAACAGAATGTAACAGAATGTAAACAAATGTAACTCTTTACTATGGGCCCTTTGTCTAACAGCGTGTGACTCTTTCTCGACCTTGGTAAAGCATCTCAACACAAGCGACTAGAAAAAAGTGTCTAGTAAAGTTCTGAACTGTTTGCAAAACCCCAAAATACATGTATTATTTTAGATCTCCCTCTACCCCCCACAAAAAAAATGGCCTGGGTTTTCTCCGGGTACTCCGGTTTCCCCAGATTTCCAAAAGCCCAAATTACATCTCACATTTTAGACAAAAAAAAAAAAAAAAAAGGTTCAGCACAGTGATGCAGTGATTAAAACTGCATCTTCACAGAAACGACGTTTTCGTTCTCAACCAGGCGTCTCTTTATGTGGGAGTTTCTGTTCTCCCGTGTTGATGTGGGGTTTTCTCCGGGTGCTCCGGTTCGCCCCAGATTTCAAAAATGATATAAATTAGGGCGATTGACTAATGTAAATTGTCCTCAAAAATGTAGTATCAATATCTAGAAAATTGAATTTGCAAACAGTTCAAATTGGGGAAACAAAACAAGAAGTCAGTTTGTTGTGAGAAAAGAAAGAACCTTGTTCTAGAGGTCAGTCCTGAACCATTTAAAATTACAAATTACGTCTCACATTTTAGACAAAAATAAATGGTTGTCACGGTGATGCAGCATCTTCACAGAAAAGAGGTCTTGGTTCTCAACCAGGCGCCTCTTTCTGTTTGTTCTACTCGTGTTTAGTGGGGGGTTTTCTCCGGGTGCTCCGGTTCCCCCCAGGTGTAAAAAAATATGGAAACTTTGGTGATTGACAAACAGGCACATGCAGAGAGGGGGGGTGGGGGGTAGAGGGGTATTGAGCAACTGCCCCTTTTGCTCCTTGCCCCCAAGTGCCCTAACCCTATTCTAGGTCAATATGAACGTTTCAGATTACAGAACAGTTTTTGGTGAATTGAAAATAAAGTTTTTGGTGACTTGCTGCTCGTCAGATAACGGAAAGTGTTGAACGTTGTTTCTTCTTCAGCACGGAGTAGCGGTTTAAGCAGAGAGGTATTTATTCTAGATCAGTGTTTCTCAACCCTGGTCCTCACCGCCCCCCTGCTCTGCATGTTTCAGATGTGCCTCTTTTCCAGAACAGCTGATTCAAATGATTGCATGACCATCAAGTACTGCAGAAGCCTGTAAATCACCCATAGATACAATTCAGGTGTGTAGCAGAAGGGAAATACCTAAAACATGCAGGACAGGGGGGCGGTGAGGACCAGGGTTGAGAAACACTGAGCAAGAGGCATTTATTCTAGAGTTAGGTAAATTTATCTTGAAGGAGAATAGCACTTAAATAAAAGTCCACTAAGGATAATAATTTAGAATTAAAAATAACTCACCCTGAGCTACCATGATGTATATAATGTATGTAATGTCTAATAAAAGAGTGTCATTAATGAAGGGGAAAAAACTCAATCCGGACTTTAAGTAAGTTTAGTCTGGTTCATAATGTGTATCCTGATAAAACATTTTTGATAAAAAGATATAAATGGGATCTGGACCCTATGTGTACTTTCTGTAAAATTAATGAATAAAAGCTTGTTCATCTTTTTTGGGATTGTAATTACACCAAAAATATTCTGGAGAGATATGTCAATTTTGTTTCACAAAAAAAATCTCAATATTACTTTAACTTTAACAAATAAGGATGTTTTGTTTGGAATGGAGAAATATGAACTTGCCAAAAATAATTTTTATATTTTGTTAACTTTTTTATTATTTATGGTAAATATTGTATTCACACCTCCAAGTATTTACAGCAAAAGCCTAATTTCCAGATTTTATTATCTTCTATTAATATCTATATTGAATCCTCACTAAGCTCAAATGCTAAAGCCATTCAAATCATAACTGCCCTTAAAGAACTGCAACCCTCGAGCACAGATTTGATTTTGACTTTGTAAATTAATTGTTCCATGTTCTGTAAAACCCTTGGATGTTATATCTATGTTTGTTTCTACTAGTGCCCTATATTGTTCTTGTATGTTGCCTGTTTGCAAAAAAAATAAAAATAAAAAAAAAATAAAAACTCTATCAAACATCAT